GTCCATGTGAGGTCATCAGCATCAGCATCAGCATTGTGTGACGCCTGGTTGTTCGTTTGCTGTTCTAAAACCCTTTGTTACTAATAATAACGCGATTCTATTCTTGACATCAAGCCTGCCTTAGGATAAGTTTGCCAACAATTGGCTTCCGACAAAAGCTACCAACTGTAACGCAGCTTCTTGAGACAATCCAAGACTTTTCAAAAGCAATAGATAAGGAAAGACAGGTTGATGCAATATGCCTTGATTTCGCAAGAGCCTTCAATAGGGTTCCTCATAACGAATTAATTAAGAAATTGAAGCATATTGGCATAAATAACAGTGTAGTAGAATGGGTTAGGTCATATCTGACATGTAGGACGCAGTATGTGGACATAAACGGCTACAAGTCTGATCGTTTACACGTAACATCTCGAGTCCCTCAAGGGTCCATACTCGGACCTGTGTTATTTCTCGTTTATATTAACGATATTTGTTTTGACATTAATCAAGATATTACTGTTAGACTGTTCGCCGATGATTGTTTACTTTATCGAGAAATATGCAACCATAATGATCAAAAAATACTCAGCGATGCCTTGGCATCTATCGAGAAATGGTGCGAAACATGGAAAATGCAAATAAATAAAGAAAAAACGGTTGTTTTGCGAGTTACAAACAAAGTAAAGCACGTCGAAAATTTCGAGTATCAACTAAGTTCCACTGCGTTAGCTACCGTTAACAGATGTAAATACTTAGGAGCAACAATATCTGAAGACCTGAACTGGACCCAACATATCAGTAATATTTGCTCTACTGCTGAAAAGAAGTTATGGTTCTTACGTCGCTAATTAAAACTGGCTCCAGACCCCGTAAAGTTAATAGCGTACTTAACAATAGTAAGGCCTACACTGGAATACGCAAGCATCATATGGGACCCTTATGAAAAAGGATTAATTAAAAACATCGAGCGGGTACAAAGAAGGGTGGCTAGATTTATTCTTTCAAAATAATCTCGTAAAGATTCTGTAACACAGATGCTGCAAGAATTAAATTTACAGCTCCTCGTGAACCGCCGTCGCATAGTCAGACTTAAATTCTTGTTTCTGCTTTCCCAAAATACATTTAACTTTGATGCAGAGCAGTATCTAATTCCCCGTCAAGTTCGGAGCCTACGAAGTGACCACCTCAGAAAATATCTAGTTCCTCAATGTCGTGTGAACACATATGCATACTCTTTTTTCCCTAGAACAATAAAAGACTAGAATGTATTACCCGATGCTATACGTGATTCTCAAACTGCAGAAAATTTTGAAAACAATGTTACGAAATATTTTCTAAGTGAATCTCCGTAAACGGTGATTGCTGTTTTTGGTATGTGTGTCTGTCATCTTTTGACTATGAATCTATTTGCTGTAACTTGTCTCATGTACGTTGTAGGATGTAATATTGGGAAGTGTATTTTGTGATGTATGTGATGTACCATGTAAGTCGTAGAACGTAGTATAGTGATGTATTCCTTTTGTATCGGCTATGCATTTCTTTTTTACGCATGACATGACGGTTGTTATGTCAGTTTTCTACCCCACCCCTGTAGCGGCCCAATCGGCCAACAGTACCTGGAAATAAAATAAATAGTTCCCAAGCACTGGCGTTGCTAGGGGTAGAATACTGGGCGGACACCCGGAGGACCCGGGTTTGAGCCCCACTTCCAATTTACAGGGAAAATTCTCACCTAAAATAGTTCATCACATGCAGTCCTATTAGCTCTTCTCAATGTCTTTCACAATGAGAAGTCTCTCGCTGTCCATGTGCCCTGTGGGACGCAGATCAATCTGGGTGGCATTCCGTCGTGCTCGCTGACGTTCTTGTCAACTCGCGCCATGATGTGGCTTTCTTCCGCAGCAGAAGGGTAGCTTGGTGGCTCAGCAACTGAGCAGCAGCCCTCAGCCACCACATTCGTCCCAGCAGAACATCGGGGTCGTGCCGGCCACCATGAACGGCAGCAGCACTCCGCAGCTTGATTAGCCGCTCTGGACGGCACCGAGAACAATAGCACCTACCCGGGAACAGTACAGCCCCAGAGGATATCTCCTAGTTTTCCAGACCGGACGTCCAGCCGTGAACCGCCTTTCCTTCCCGATACCCGAACTTGTTCTTGTTCACCTATTGACTATGGCGCGTGCCCACTGTGGGGAATCGTTGAAGAAGTTAATGGGTTTATTCCACTATTACGACTGAAATTCCAAACAATGGCGAGTAAAGGTTTCTTGATATCAGCGTAACCAACCTTTCTCAAGATCACATGTGGTGGGCAGAAATTCTATATCAAACAGTAGTTGTTGAGGGTCACCTCAGGTGAAAAGTGCTGAAAACGCAGCTTGAATGTGACTGGGGACCCGTGCACAAAGCAGAGTTGACATGCATGTTTTTTACATAACAAACAAATTAAGGAGACAGAAATGCTGGCAAACATAGAACATACACGTTAAACCTTTGAAAACATAAAGGTAATTGTGCTAGAAAATATTGGCGTCGGAGAGTATATTTAAACATGCTTAGGTTTAACATTTTATGTTACTACAGAAATTACGGAACATATATTTAAATTAGGTTTGAACACAATACAGTGAACTAAATTAGTAGTGGTAAGAGCTGATAGTTCTGATTAGTGAAGTTGAGACGTAAAGAAATCGGGCAACTCTTTTCACCAATTTTGCCAAAATCATTACCTTGTTTTTGATATTTGTTCAAGAGATTCAGTACATTGAAAGGCACTGATTATCTGCCGTAACTTGTGCGTCATCGCGTTACCAAACATTTCTCGCGGCTTTTGGTTCAATAATCATCAACTTGTTTTTTTTTTAACTGCAGATACTTCTTAAAAAGCTCCTAGCACTTTCATTTAAGAAGGAGTTGAATGGGTGGTACCGATAAATAAAAATGGCGTTTATTACTTCTTGAGTGCGATCAGTATAGGAAACGTCAGGCGATGCATCGCAATGCTTTCTTTTGTAACATAAGAAATCTGGGCAGATTTGTCAGTGGAGTTCTTCCTCATACAAATGTGCAAAAGTTCATACGAGCACTGAAAAGTGCGTTATATATTTGCTTTTTGATATTGCTGAGCAGCGCCGCAATAGCGCTCCCGTAGTTGAAGACAACGATCTCGCAAGAGAGTGTGAGCAGTCCACGTCATGTCCGCAGGAGAGATGACGCCTAGTGATTCATGCGTTTCTACTAACTCAATTTGACTCTCACCAAGACACAAGTCTGCTGGCAGGTGGACAAGCTTGTTTTTGTCTGTGTACAAACAGTTTTTGGCTGTTTACAAACCACGTGACTCGACCGAGACAATAGGTGTAGAGCTTGTATGAAGTGCAGAGTTGGGCAGCCTATTTCTTTTGGACTTTCTTTTTCTCTTCTCTCTGTTTTTTTCTGCCTTTTTTGTTCCTATCGTTCGTCCTATTTTTTCCGTGTTGTTTTGGTCTGTTTCTATTTCTTGCTTGCTTCGTCTATTTTGTTTCTGTTTTTAGACGTAGTTATGCCTGCGCTACGCCAAGCGACGATAGCTGGGGCTTGTGAAGAGATCCGCACCTAAAATGATATTCAAAGCGGGGAAAATGAAAATGAAATAGAAAGAAAAGAGCTGAAAATAGCCGACAGCAAGAACAAAAAGAAAATCATCGTAAAGAAGGAAGACCGCTCAGTTCAACCACACTTTCTGGCGCGAATTTGTTTGAATTATTCTTTCATTTCCACCCGCAGCAGTTTTTCACGTGCGGTTTGGCTAGCAGCCAACGACGCTGACAGCGACACGGGAATTCCTGCGACACCGACGTGTTAACGCTGTAGTCCTAATATTGGAGACACAGCGTATCTCCTTGTCGTACTTTTATCTCGATCGGGGCTTCTTTGTTTCTCTGGAGGGGCGGTAGAGAAGCTGTAGAATCTCTATGTGTCTATCTGCTGTGTTAATAAGTACGTTGACATTATACTTCTTAGGCTGAAATACGTGGCGCAAGGTTGACCAAGAGAAAAAAAAAAAAGACGAGACAGAAAGAGCGCTCTTTCTGTCTCGTCTTTTTTTTTTCTTTTGGTAAACCTTGCGCCACGTATTTCAGCCTAATATGTACCAACTAGCCCAACATAACGTATTATACTTCTTGCCGGTGTTAGCGAATTACCGCCTGCCGAGTTGTCTACGGTTCCGTTCCGTATGTATAGATATACCCGCACAAGCAAATACACGCACAAACATCTCTGCACTTATTGGTGTAAGCCCACATGTCTTGTGAGTTGACAATGCTGTCCTCCAAACTTGGTGCCATTTATGCCTGGCCTTGAAATAATCTGAGACCATAATCGAGCCATTATGCTCGTTCACTGCACCATCGATAAAGTGATATACAACATAGAGTTTCTTACAATATTTACTACAGGGAACTCTCGCGCGGCGATCGTTCAGCCACCGTGTGAATGATAAGCAGTAAACAATTTGTCTTATATTCGTGCTTGCATCTTCGAACTTTTTCTTTTGTGCTGTGTTCTGGCGTTTCTTTCGGATGAAAGATTGAGCCGTGACTTTCGTGAGCTAAACTTACCTGGTGAGACTAAATAAGTTGTGTGGCGAAGCGGAGCTTTGCAGCATTTCCTGAAATTCGTCTTGCGACAAAGCGGCTCCAGGCCACGCGAAGCTAAACGGAGCCAAAAGATTAAAATTTAGACAAATCCATGTACTGCCCATCATTACCATGTTAGCCGGTGCCACAAGTTGCAACTCCTATAGGAACTAGCGCCAGAGTTTCTTCTAATGAATTTTTAGGAAACTATGTGGCACATAAGAAACTACTAGGTCACACCCAAAGGCCACTTAGCCGGGAAGATCCACAGCATGTGGTTCTACTGTATTAAACCCTTAAGGAATTCGCTCGCTACCTGAAGTGCTAGAGCACTTTCTTTCCCTGACTTGAACTGTCAACTACACATCGCTTATAACCTTTATACATCTTGCCATGCAGGCACGGGCATTCCTGAGAATGCCATCTGGGAGAGACTCCTTGCGGCGGCAACGGATGAACGGTGCACAAACGCGCAAGCATCGTCGGCCGCCGTGCCTTCTCCTCCAGACCTCGTGGTGACTCCGACGGTGTTTGGCGAACGTCACATGCCGGGTGCCAGCGCATCAGTGTCCGGGATCGGGCCGCAGTCGGCGCTTAGCCTGGGCGCCGTTCTTCGTGCCCTGTGTCAGGGTCTGGCGAAAAACTTGCACACCATGATGCCCCGCGAGATGCTGGAGCACGCTGGTGTGCGCCGGATCGTTGGCACCGGCAAGGCGTTGACACGCAACGTGTGCCTGCAACAGGCCGTCCACCACATATACGGCATTCCCCTCGAGCTTGGGGGCAAAGGAGACGCGGCGCTGGGCGCTGCACTCGCCGTGCTGTCCCATTCTTCCAGCGGGAAAGCTTAATTGGGGTCGCATGAACGAACGACAGAGATATCTTTTCGTTTTGTTTCCTTAGTTAAGAAGAGAATTCGACTGTAAATCGCAAAGGAGACCGAAAATTCCTACTGCTGTGTCGTGCGTGTTTTTTGTGTGTTGTTTTTGCATTTTCTATTCGCATTCCGCCATGTGTGCCCTCGCTCTTAGCGGCTATGTCCCGCTACGCAGACCTAGGCAATGCGGCTGTCCTCACTGCGGTGCTCGGAATCCCTCTTTAGAATTGTCTGCCGTTTTGCAACGACATCTGTAGTGCTTACGGAAAAGGCCGCTGGTCAGTCGTGTTACTTCTCAGAGTGAGCGACTCAAATGGGTGTAGCAGCTGGTCTGTGCCACAGTTTTACGCACTGCTGAAGTACAATGCTCCTGCGGCGACGTATCGTTGCTCGAAAAAAAAATTGGGGCAGTGTGCATTTCTGTGAATGCTAGACTATGCTATCAGGTGTCCCTTGCGGCTACAATTAAAGCTTTGTTGCCTCCATATATGCATCAAGTAGAACTCTGCAGGGTATAACTTGAGTGGCTCTGGGGCATAACTCATTAAATTCATATTTTGTAGTCAATGATCAGTGTTTTTAGCGTAGCTTTTATTAGTTCGCCAGTTGTCAATTTGTAGAATGAAAACGAGCGACTCTGCAAGCATGATGCAGCTGTGTGCCATACCATCAACTTCGTGATTTGACAGTTCGCGAACCCTGTGTTCCAGGGCGGTGGCGGGACACAAGAACGATTGCACCGCCGATGAGTGACCAAGTTGTGGTAAACTACAACAACTGCTGGGAGACACGGAAGTCTTTCATGTGAACATGTGAGCGGGCACCCTGGTGTTGTTTCGTGAGTGTGACTCGTTTCAAACCTTTTACCAGACTGTTTGTGGAAATGCTTTATATTCATCTTGCTTCTTGCGTAAATAAGAGGCGGGAGCAAATAATGTGAGATACCATGTTACCATTGTAATATAACGCTGTATGAACAGATGTTGTGCGAAAATATGTTTTTGCAGAGCTGTTCCGAGTGAAGATGACGGTGTTGTTGAACATGTATTTATATTTATTTCAATGCAGCGCTGATACGTGCAGGGAGGAATCGTAATGTGTTAACTTATTTTTCACAGTCACTGGACCTACAATTGGCTGGCACTACCTGCTCAGATTACGTAAAATATCAGCACTATTTGCCCCTTTCACTTTAGAAATTTAAACAAGTGGCTTGAGTTACTATCCAACTAAAAAAAATGTTGTAATATCGACAGGTAGCATTTACAATTATACGGCAAAATTTGAGTTTTTTTGCAAGTTTTATTATGTTTCTTTTAGTCGATGAAGCGAACTATAGGTTGTGTGACGCAGTTCCTGAATCGCGTGAGGCACTGCCTAAACCATTGGGGACCTTTAATTTAGCTCTGTTTTTCTCTCAAGATTAGAAAAATGTAGTGTGGAAGAGGGAGAGAGACAGTATCTAGTTGGAGCACCTGAAAGACGACTACGACGAAGAGCTGAGCTCGTGACAGTGACTGACGCCTCTTGAACCCAGCAAATGGTTTTATTCAATAAACTACCTTATAATTTGGTGGAGGTGCTGGGTAGTCTTTGAAGCTGGAACTACGAAGTCGTCTTTCAGGTGCTCCAACTAGATACTGTCTCTCTCCTTTCAATGTTTTTCAATAAAGCGGTTTATTCAATAAACCCCCTTATAAAATATAAATGTACATGGGCACAAGTGCTTGTTTTTCAAATTAATTTGCCTTTTTGCTCTTTTTGAAGTTGTGTGTGTGTTGAGGGGGGGGGAATGTAATGTGTTTCACTCTTGAACGACGCTTCTTATGAAATATGCCCATTAGAAGGCTTAATGTTAAACAACAGTTATGTGTAGGTCACAAGTGCTGCAGAAGTAGCGTAGATATAGCCCAACATGGACCAGCACAGATAGCAGCACAAGTTTTCAATATAGCTAGTGCCTTTCTCGGTCTCTGTAAAATATATGGATGCAGGACAGTATGCCGGTAGCCCATTAGACTACATCTTTGAGAAATACAAAATAGTGTAGGAAAACAAACTAATATAATCGTCGGGGTATAACGTCTCAAAACGTTCGCCGATGTGATTATGAGAGACGCCGTATAGTGGAGGGCTTCGGAAATTTCGAGTACTTGGGGTTTAATTAACGTGCACCTAAATTGAAGTACTCGGGCCTCAAGCACTTTCGCCTCCATCGAAAATGTTGCCGCCGCGGCCGGGTTTCGACCCCGGGCGCCATTTGCGAATCAGCCCCACAGCTCCTAGACCATGTCGGGTGTAGTGAAACAACTTCGAAGCAGTAAAAGTTGTATGCTTCATCGCTTAACGTGACTAGCATAAAAATTTGCTTCACGGAAGAGGCCTCTTTTTATAGTGTAAGAGCTCGGACTTTGCGGTGGTTCTTATCGGTCCTGAAAGCTAGCAACGAAAAGTCACACCAGGTTATTCAGCGGTAACGGCTCTCCAGCTTCGCGTGTGGACACTATCAGATGCCTCGGAATGTTTATCGAGTCTAATGGAGCCAATGGAGCCGCCATCAAGTGCATTTGTTCCAAAACCGAGAGCACCTTCGGGCTGATGAGAAGAATTGCTAGCAAACACTGAGGAATCAAAAAGGACAAGCTGATTCGTAATATCTATGCATATGTGCTATGACACATTGCTTATACGGTACCTATGCGCAACTGATTGGTGTCAGGGCACAAAAAGATCAATGCCCTAATCAGAAGAGTTTTCATGCTGGCCCTTAAGATTCCCGTCCGAACGCTCACGGAAGACCTCCCGAAATTAGGAATCCACAACACATTCGAAGAAATTGCCGAGGCCCAAGGGTTTTCACAGTTTGTCAGACTGTCCGGCACCCCAGCGGGTAGAGTCTAATTCGGCATTCTGAAACGCAACCCCATGGTCGTTGGTCCTGATGCTGTGAAGATGCCCTCTGAAGTCATTTAATGTGACAGTGGATGTCACGCAATATGCATCCAAGCTACAACGCAGCACGAAGACGAGCAAGGAGTAAAGCTCTGTTCACCAGTGCTCACTTGGACAAAGAACAAGCCTGCTTCGTAGATGCCGCTTTGTTTGCTCAAAAAGAAGCGTTCTGGTCAGTGGTTGTTGGCTGTGATTCCGAAGTAATCAGCTGTGCTACCATCCGCATTTTTTGCTCCAGCGTTGTAGAAAAGGTTGCCCATTGTTCTTGCATTGACGGTTGGTGTACATGACACAATGTATTTTGATTCCAAGGCTGCTATCAGGGCATTTCAAATAGATATAGTGGCTTCTCAGGTCCCACAGATCCTTAAAAAAGCCAAAGATCTCAAAAACCACTCATTGGTCTGGTTTCCTGCACACCTTGCACCAACTGAGGATGCTTTGATCAATCCGAAGGAGGAAGCGCATTCGGCTGCACGAGGTTTGATTGACCATGTGCCGAATAACGCGTCATCTACTGGGTGATCCGAGCCTCTCGGCACTTACAACGAGATATAAAAGTACCATTATCTCTCAAGATGAGTGCTGCTCTGTCAAAATCTTCACTGTGCAGGGTCCAAGCTGTTAATTTCAGACTGTTCCAAACAAGAACCTACCCGAGCCCTGCGGCACTGCACACAATATTCCCCGAACGGTTCGCAAGCCCGGATTGCCCTTTGTGTGGCGGTTATGTGAAATTCGAGCGTGTGCTGTGGGGTTGTGCCTTTGCCGGTCCCCCTTTCCAACAAGAAGAAATTAACAAGCTGATCATGGCCCAGGACGTCACACATGAAATCCTGGCCGTCCCAGAGGGCCCCCGCGAGGGCGGGCAGGTTCAACCTGACCGTCCCTGAGTGGGCCTAGCCAGGTGACGCCGACTTGATACGGGTCAATTGTGGGCCTATTTAAGGGTTTTCACTCACGGAAGAGGTCAAAGAAACAAATTGACAGAATGCAAATGACTTTACATTTGATAGGACAGTTCTTTTTCAGTGAAAACCCAGCGTTGAACGGGTAACGTGAATCGTCGTTTGCATGTCCTTGCGGTCACCTGTTTTCTATAGGCAGAAATGCGTATACATGCAGATGTGCATGAAAGTCAAGTTGAAACGCAGTTTCTGTTACAGTTAGTTTAATTATAGTGTGCAACCTATTACGTAACGTTTAGGTCACGTGAAGAACCCCCGCGCTAGTTAATTTACGGAAGTTGCTTTACGTATCTGCTTAGATGGTTGCATATACAAATGTTGTGCTTCTAAAGCAAGTGGGATTTCGATCAAAATTAATTTCTACCTGCTTTTTTTCCGCTACCTTACTTACTGGTATATTGTGTAAAATAATCAATATTTACCTTACAAGGGTTCTCAAACACATTGAAAAGTAGTGTAACTTCGCTTTTTATGTTACCAGCTTGACAGAGACAAGGAGCTCGTAACGCTGAAATTCTGGTGTCGGCGCATGTGTCGGTGTCGTTTGCGGTAATCTGGGGGGTTTTACACTCAGATCAAATAAGAATCGAACCTTGAACTTTTAGAGGCACGCAGCTGTTATACCATGGAACGACACTCGCAATTCGAACTACCTGAAAAAAAAACACTTCGCAAATATCTTGTTGTGGAAAGAGTCGCATGTAATATTGCGGGGCATAGAGTCGCATATAGACGTGAATTTATTTATTTATTTAGGATACCTTACAAGCTCAATGAGAGCATTGAGTAAGGGGGGTACAAACTTCAAAGAGTAATAGGGCGATCATCAATAACATGGAATACACAAAAAATAACACAACATCGTGACAAAGCGTATCTAGTCGCTGACACTCAAACAAATGTAATACGCGAATGTTTACCGATATGCAGAAAGCTTGAATAACACGAAATTTAAGGTACATGAACGAAACACAATAAAAAAATTCGGAAGGCGTAGGTATAGAATTTTAAGGAGCAGCAACGGCGGTGCAACTGAGCAACAAAAACTGGGAGAATAACAAGAACTGGGAGAACAATGGCAATAACAAAAAAAAAAATCAAAGAGAAATCGGAAGGCCGAGGTGTACAACATACACACGCATTTTCCAAACACACATACTGCTAGCCGTACGAAGGCGTTTACCAATATAAATTGCAAGACAACGGTGGGTACAGCAAAAACTAAAGAGAACCAAAGAGAAGTGTGAAACTAGGTGAGTGGCACAGCTGCAGCTACAGACATCAGTGAAGTTAGAGCGATTAGTGCGATGAAAAATGATTGCACACATGTTCGCGAAAAAAATCTGGATCGGTGATGGAGGCGATGCAGTCGGGAAGATCGTTCCATAATGATATGGCCTTAGGAAGCGCTGATAAGTTGAATGCTTTCGTTTTGCCGTAAATGCGAGTGAAACTAAGGTGATTGTGCAGGCATCTGGACATGCGCAATGGTGCTGTTAGGGGTAGCATAGAACGTCTTGTGCTGTGAATATATTTATGCAGCAAACATAACAGTGCAACAGAGCGACGAACGTGCAATGGCGAAATAGAATGTTCTTGTTTTAATGTTGTTACGCTGCAATGAGTGCTATAATTGCGAGATATAAACCGGGCTGCTCTGTTTTGTATGGACTCTAGCTTTGTGGTTAGGTGATCTTGGAAAGGGGACCAGACTGAAGATGCAAATTCCAGCTGGGGGCGTACATAAGTGAAATAGGCGAGTTTACGGATGCTTGTTGGAGACTTTCGCAGATTACGACGGAGATAACCTAATGTTTTTGAGGCTTTCGCACAAATAACACTAATGTGTGCCGACCATGAAAGATTGGGTGTTAGATTGACGCCTAAGTACTTGTAAGAAGAGCACTGCACTATTGTATCATTTTTAATAGAGTAGGAATAATTGGAGTTTTTGTGTTTATGACTGAAAGTCATAGCACGGCACTTGGAAAAGTTAAGAGACATCTGCCACACGTCACACCAGTCACTAATTAGGTTAAGATCTGTTCGAAGGGTAAGGTGGTCGCCATCATTGTTAATAGCTCGATATATTTCGCAATCGTCAGCGAATAGTCTTATATTGGAAGATATATTATTTGGCAAATCATTTATGTAGATGAGAAATAATAGAGGTCCGAGAACACCACCCTGTGGAACACCCGAGATGACTACAGAGGGGGTAGAGGCGTAGTTATTAACCGTAGTGAATTGTTTTCGAAAGGAAAGAAAATTGCGGATCCACGAAAAGGTTAAGGAATCGAGTCTAAGTGCAGATAATTTAGATATTAGGCGGCAATGGGCAAGGCGGTCAAAGGCCTTTGAAAAATCTATGAATACGCAATCAGTTTATTTATTTTCATTCATATTGAAATGGAGATCGATTGTTAATTCAAACAATTGGGTGTCACACGAGAAGCCTTTCCGAAAACCATGCTGGTGAGGAAAAAAGAATTTATTTGATTCGAGGTGGCGGTGAACATGGAAA